TGATATAATTGACAAATCTCTTATCTTCCGAGCGTGCTTTAGGTAGAAACGAAGAATCCTCATGTCTCGCACGCAGACCACTAATAGCTTCCGTATTATGTCCTGTTTTAGCCCGATAAGCTAATCTTCCGAACCTACTACTAGCTATCTTAGCACGAGACATAATAAATTCCGTCAACTCATTGAAATTAGGCTCTCTCTCCTCTTCGTCCCACTTGATTCCCAGCTCTGCCCACTGGGCTTGCATTCGACGAGGTAAGAGCCTGACTATTCGTTCTAAAGTAACCAGGGAATGAAGTTCCGTTGTACAATTTAGCTGTTCTAAGGTTAAAGCAGCATTCTGCATTTTAATAGCCAAATTCGTCAATTCTTCAGGATCATTAAAATCTGCATTCCCGGTTCTAAATAAGTCCTCTAAGGTTTCCTGGGCTATTAAATGCGACTGTCCAAAGAGCTGTTTTAAGATGGCCTTAGCTCTCTTATATCTAGCTTGTGGATCCATTATAATACAACCTTCAATCGCATTTTTTGCCCTTCCTTTACAGTAGTGAATTAAATATAATAAACGCAAATTGTCATCTTTTACTCTGGGTTCTATAAACGTTTCAATTTGTCGCATAAATCTAAAGTAGTCGCGAGATTTTCCATCAAAAAATGAAAGTTCGACCTTAGGTAGTTCTAAACCTACTATCGGTGTCCTAAGTATCTGATCCGTCTCTGGTACCTTAGAACTCTCACTTAAGCCTTGTTCCTTAATGCCTGCCAAAGGTGACTTACAATAATAAGTATCAGACATAACATCATTATTAATAAAGTGGGTACCCATTAAACAAGCATCATCAACGACTTGCCTAGCGTTTCGGGGTCCTTCAAGCTCTTCCACCCTCCTCGTGTTTGTTTTCTTCCGGTTGCTCATGTTTAAGTGAAGTTCAACGGAAGATAAATAACAAATACAAAATATAGGAATTCCACAGGTAAGAAATATCCAAAATCAGAAAATCGTTTTCCAAAATACAGTTCGAATACAAAAATACGATAAGTAATCCAAGGTTCTTCTTTCAAGAAGGTTAGTGTTATAAACGATTAAATTTCCAAATGTTTCTTTATTCTTCTTAATAATCCGACTGTAATTGGTCTTCTAATCAAAAGTCGAGCCAACTTCAGACTGTAAATGGATTTTCTACCGTAGCAGTTCAAATGGTTTCCAGTAAGTGCAATCCGAACGCGTATCTCCCAGTCCAATGTCCAAAAAACACAACAATTCTAGGAGAAAACGGTCTATATTATATTAAAAGATGGAAATACAAAGCAATACCTGAAGTTGATGCACTTTCCAAGTCACAATTACTCCGAGGAGTATCCAAGGTAAAGGGGAATAAGTGACGTTAAGTCCAACCGCCACAGTATCAATCCAAATATGGCTGTGGCCATATTAAAGATCAAATTTAAACAACATATATACAGTTCAGAAGCAAACATAAAAACTTCAATATAAGTACAAAATATAGAAATAATAACAATATACAATGATAAAATCTCAAATTGGAATCAAATAAAATACCAAAAATGTCAACAGAAAAAGTCCGTCATGTCATAACAAAAATATGTAAACATGGAGGGATTTTCCAAAAAACAAAACATTCAAAAAGTATTCTACAATGTACATAGGTTGCATGTTCCCTAGATTAGCCAAGGATTTCCCACCGTGTATGGGGTTCTGAAAATTAGTAGAGAAAGAGAAAAAGGCAGCATTGTGTGAAGTGTATATATATAACCAAAGCACTACTTAACCTGTCATGTTGAAATAGTCAATACAGTTGTAAGTCAAGATAAAATTCATACTGACCACTTAAATCAAATTAAATTATGGGAATATAAGAATATAACACACAGATAAAGGAGTACAGCAAAAAGAAGGATGGGTTGTGCAGTGTCAGGTGGATAGAAAAGAACACGAAGTAAGAAGCTGGATTTATGTACGTTGAAATTGAAAGAGTAGAGTTCGTAAAAAGAAAACTTTGATGAATAAAATCTCGCATTGTCTAACTGTTTTTTTTTTTATTATTATTTTTAATGCCAACCTCTAAGTCATACTGTAAGCGCCTGAGTAAGAATGTTGCGGGTGTTTCGACAAAATAGCGACCTCAGCATAGTTTTGGAAACATGAACCACAGAAGTAGGAAGCGTGTCAAATTTAAACAACATATGTACAGTTCAGAAGCAAACATAAAAACTTCAATATAAGTACAAGATATAGAAATAATAACAATATGCAATGATAAACTCTCAAAATGGAATCAAATAGAGTACCAAAATGTCAACAGAAAGAGTCAGTCATATCATAACACAAATATATATACATGGAGGGATTTTCCAAAAAACAAAACTTTCAAAAAATATTCAACAGCTAGCTGCCATCTTGCGTTTTTCGTCCTTTGTGCCGTTGTTTTAAATATCCAGATCGGTTTCCGCAACACCTAAGTTGGTTAGAGTGATTGTTCTTTGAGCTGTCCCAAGCCTGAAACGCCTGAGTTCGGTCTCATGGTTTCCTCTATTTCACAGCCATCAGATCTGGTGACTTAATGGACGTGAGATGTGAAGGGCGACTCAGCCGGGAGATTCAAAGTGCCATGGTGGTGTGAATGCTTAGGCTACATGATATTCATCACCTCTGTGATACTTCGCGCGCGTGAGCTTTATCCAAGCTTCTTCCACCAGTTCGGGAACGCCATGAACTATCACAGTGATCTGCTTTTTGGCGCCTTGTGAGTTCCTGGCTGCGCTCATATTGACCACGGTTTATCATGCCTGATGCGGGTCGGGGAGGACAATTTACCCGAGGTTCTCTGAGATGAGAGGAGGATGTCTTCGGGAATTTGTGCCGAGTCTAGTGTCACCCTTTTTGGAGGGGGTTTCCCTTTGGAAATTACTGGTCTTCGAAAAGAGGCATATATTTGCCGGCATATGGCACATTTAGAGGACTGCTCGGTATTTATCCCACTGTTCTTTATCAAAAGCAGCTCTCCCATCAAGAAAGCTTTTTTCAGACTTTGGAATATCAAATAAAATAAATGAATTTAATCTGTCATCCCTGTGCTTTATTTGTAGCATTTTGTGAGTTTAGTTGTTGACTGAGAGAGATGACGCTACACAAACCCTAGGTACTCTCTCGGTACTGTAGTGTCGCAGCGACAATAGACACATGTACTACACAGACTACTTTTCAATGCAGAGTCACTGATTTTGACTGGCACTGAGCAGGTGATGCGATTTCTTTACAACAGACTGCGTCCACTGAACATTGGAACTCCTTTTTCTCCTATTCTACATTTGCCTACTGGTCTCTTTAGGAGTGGGAATCCGAGGAGTATTGTTTCGGTTTCTCTGGAGAAGATCCAGTAAAGGTGTGTGGGTCGAGTTGTCCTATTGACGGACACTTCTCCGAGTAATGCTGTCCAATGACGGCTTCAGTTTTTTCATAATCTTGTCGCTCGAGACTGAGATTTTCGACTTACTTCTGATCTCGCAAATCATACGTCTACAAGTTTTTCTGGTTGTTATGGTGTAGGACGTGGTAGAAGGCTTATTACCTGAAATGATGCCTGAGAGATTTAGAGATGAGAAACGAGATAAGTGAAAGATCGAAATACACGAAACAGGAGTTTCGGAAGCAGGAAGTTTACTACTAACTACGAAAGAATAAAACAATATACAAATGAAGTATATCTGGAGGAGACAACAATTTTCAACTACCACCAACTTCGGAATTTATAACGCTATAGTTCAAACAGTTCAACTACATTGAGCCGAACCACAGAGAATTAGCCGCACTAGCACTAAAATTACACACATTTGTAAATAGCTCTTTATGTTTAATACATTAGATTCAGTGACAAGATTTAATGAAGAACGACATGCTCTAGCTAGTAGCAAGTTTGCAGACAGTTGAAGAAGGAAATGGCCAACTACGTGCAACATTTTTGATACTCTGTAAGATGAAAAACTAATCGTCCAAAGGCCTGAGAATTGGGTTTGCAAGCAAAATTCGATACTATGATCAACAATGCTGCCAAACAGTCTATCTTTTTTATCTCCGACAATGTATTAGGACAAAGTAAAATGTACTCTCGACTAATTTGGTCACGATATTTCTGTAGTGTCGAGTTTCTGAAGATAAGTTTTTAAGTGGAAGTTTTACGTAAGTTGCATCTATATAACAGATTCAGATGTATGATTCTTAGTAATTCACTTACGGGATAAGCCGTTATAAAAATCATCCCTGTTTTATGATATTTATCCTTGATATATCCAGGAAAATAGAAACAGGCTGATTTTCTTCCGGTTCAGGTTTGTCCATTTAAACTGTAAATTGTCAATCTAGGTTAGCTGGTTGATTAAGCCTTGCGATAAGCTCTACTTTCCAGAAAATGTATTCATGAATTACCTGATATCAGTTCAAACCAATTTAAAGAATTAAAACGCCTACCTAAATGCTTCTAACTTTTTGGCAAATACTGACTTTCACCCATTTTCCTTCTAGAACTATTGTTAATAACCCAGTTAATGCAACCAGATTTAGCTTCCAAACTGGATTCAAAGGCAATATGGTATATCAATTTACTAAAAACTTTTCGAGGAAGAGAATGGGTTAATTCTGCTCCGGAAAGCACTGATTTTTAATGACTCACATACTTCTTTTGATTAGGCTTTCTTCTTATTTTGAAAATACCGCCATAGGACGGTAAAAACTTATGTTATCAGAGGGCTCTGGATGCTTTCATCATGTACTGTACACAAACACACTGAACTTTCCCATGGAAACATCCAGAAGACTTGACTCCTCTTAAGAAGTAAAAATAATTTGTTGTGTCAAGGCATACTAAGGCGTGATTTATCCAAATAAATTATGCATGTAATTCCGTTTCTGATTCATACTTTTAAGCTAATACAACCTGAATAAATGAAAGACAATCTAGTTCAGGGTAGCGAAACACCAATAGCTTGAATCAGGCTCGGACAGCTAATGGCTAAAACTGTAAGAAATATCATTTCTATAATATTCAATTTTTTATTGCACTTTGTTTAAATACACCACTAAAGTATAAAGAGTTAATTCAGAGGGTCACGAACCCGTCGCGCGAATTATGTCAACTATCGGAAGGCGAGCAAGCGTCGCCAAATATAATAGAGACTCACTAATAACCAATGACCTGATACAGTCAATCAATCCTGAAATATATCAGCGTAAATATGTTTTTGAAGTTGCGTGGGAGGTTGTCAATAAAGGTTAGAGTTCTATCTGTTTCTTTTTTTATTTTCACCTCATCAAAATGTCTTTACTGTATATCAGTTATTGCTTTCAGTTGGTGGAATATATACTGTCATCCGTACCAAAGCTGCCTCTGCCGTAGAGGAGTTGGGTGATCGTTACATTTTGTTAGGCCCACTTAATGAGGTGTGCATGAGGACTGAAGTAGATGTCGCAGAACCGGCCAATGAAGCGTTGAAACGTACGATTAAAGCTATGCGTTCACATGGTGTAAAAGTGAGTTTAGTTCAGTATGTCTGCTTTTCAAGGAGTTATTAGTTTGTTTTGGTTATCTGATGTCTGTGTTGCTCCACTTGAACTAGCTCAATATTATTGATATGTTTACACTGTTGCCATATTGAAAACTGACCTTAACACCTCCCACCTGTCATCTCACGTCTTTGGATAAAAACCTGATTCCTGTCGAAAATGGTTGTTAGCTTATCGTATAGCTATTTATATTCGGTAACATCACTTTAAAATAATAGTTTTACGAGCTGTTGTAGAAAGCAAAATTATGTTAATGTCAGATTCACCTTACCTATGCCTAGGTTTGTAGATTTACCAACACAATAGTCAACAAGGAGTTATTTAGACTCATGGAAAGTTTATTCCGACCAGACGAATTCTGTAAATTTTTAAATTCCTTGTGGTTGTTGTGTATGAAATAAGTTTCGATAAATGTAGTTCTTGTAACTGTAGAGCACAATCTTCTTGATTTCATGCTTCATTGTATGAACGTCCGTGTAAGCAAAGCGGAGTGACTTTTCGATAACAGATTAACGTATATGTTAAAAACTCAATCTCATGTGTTACGACGAACAGTAGTTATTCATTAGCCGCTTATCAGATGTTGAGTATCGCTTGATCTGGCTGTTTTTAAGATACGTATGTTCTATGACTCAAGTTTTTCGTGACCCCAAATTCACAATAGTTAATAATCAATAATTCTTTAATCGTTTACCTGCAAAGTGAAGTCATTTGTAGTCATGCAGTTGGTGTGTAGAATAATCTGATGTCGAAAATTTAGTATATCTGAGTTGCGGTTAAGTTTCTCTGTTTTTTGAATTAGCTTCGTTTCATGTTAGATTCAAAACTGGCTGATTGTAGTTAACTTCAATTTTGTTCTTAACCCTTCTGTTTCATTTTAAGCTCCTGTGCGACCATATTAAGAGATTTACAACATTACGCCAAAATTTTCAAATATTTTTCTGTAAACGAACAAAGACGGTGTCATCTTAAATTCGAAAATTGGGGATTTCACCTCTGGTTTGAACTAAGAGATTTTGGCTGTTAACAAACATATCCAAAGGATATTGATCTTTAGAGCTAGTGATGTTTAGAAATGTATAGTACATTTCCTAGTCATCAATCTATACAACCTTGGTAACTGATTTATCTTCTGGTATTTTATGTGACATCAGTAGTTCCAATAAACAGGTAGTGATATAAACAGTTATGATTACAGTTCTAAACTTTGAATTACATCGGCATTATTCCTTTGTATTTGTGTAATGCCTTAAATTTTGATTTTAATTCTTCAGGTATGTTATGGTTCTTAGGCTAAAAATTATTTCTAATAGTAGGAAGTCTCCATATTGCTTTCTACTCCAGTTTCACTGAATTTCAAGATGCTTAGCTATTTTAGAATCAAGGATTCAGTTTACTGACTAGTTTTCCAAGTTCGCGTTCTTAAACTCTTATTCATATGTGCTTCCATTGTGCTTCATCTTTTTTACATGAAAATTCAAAGTTTCCTAATATAACGAGTTACCCTGTAATTTGAATAAGGTCTTATATACACTAGCCGCTTTGATCGAATTTGGGAAATAAACTTTAACAATAATTATAACATTCAATACTGTATTTACCCCATATTTTCATTCCATTTTTATATGTTTTTTATAGGTAGTTTTCGGCCGTTGGCTAATTGAAGGTTATCCAAACGTTGTTTTGTTTGACATAGGATCATCTGCTTGGCGTATTGATTCTTGGAAAAAGGAGCTATGGGAATCTTGCAATATTGGCATCCCGGTTCATGATACTGAATGCAACGATGCAGTCATTTTTGGAGCACTTGTTGCCTGGTTTCTGAAAGAAGTAAGTAGCTATGTGTTAGGCTGAAATTTACTCAGAATGTTGATAAGGTATTTGAAGTTTTCAATTGTGTACTCTGACACAGATGTGTAGTTCCACAATAATAAGTCAGTGTTAGTAATTAGGTCCAAATAAAGTTTATTTTGCAAAAAAAATTCTTTTTCATTGCTCAGTATTGACTGGAATCGGGAACGGGCTGGAAAAAAGCTGTAAATTGCCCAAACAAAGCGTGACATCAGTTCGCGAAGCTATTCATTACTGAACTAAGATATGTTAAGAATTGCAGACTATTTAGTTGTTGTCTACACAGTTGTTGTAATCAGTCGTTAAAGATGTCTATTAGTCAGTCAGTCACTTACAACGTAGAACTCCGTACGTACGTACATCAGTTCGATTTACCATACTGTAGAATACGTCTAGTAACATACGAGTTAGTTGCAGTGGCGTCTATGTATTTACTCTTTACTTTCCCTTGCATCCCAGGTTTCAAAATTATTCCATATCTTTTTATGTTGTGAATTTATTCATTCTCCTCCAATTAAATTCTCTGTGTCTAGTGTTGATTTACTATCACTGATAGGATTTCTACCTTGGTATTTGTCGTGATGATTTCATCCCTGGGTGCTATGGTATTACAAATTGGACTGATGTATGTATATTCTAAGTTCTGCGTTGCGTACAATTGATTGGTGTTTTGTAGGTGGTTTAAATAAGTGATAAAATAAGGGCAAACTGTAATTAAATAATAACAATGCTTTTATTTGTGAAATTTCAAATGATTTACTAATTGGTGATTCTTATCATAACTTTCGAGGTTTCTCTATCCTTTTTATCGATCGAAGTACTATGGCTTAGTTTTTAATACTGTTTGATATACTAGCAGATGCATATTTCTGAAATTATCTGGGTTGACCTGATGTCACTGCAATCTTTTTTAGTTTTTATATCTTGTAAATTACTTACAAGGAAATTTAAATACATTGAAAAGAAACTCTGTTTCGTGGGTCTACTTATTGTTAAAGATGAAAATAATTTAAAGTGACTTTTCTGCACTGTACAAAGCTATTGAACATCCCTTTGTAAAATACTAAGAACGACTTAATGATATCCATTTCTTGCTGTCAGATGTTTATAGTTGTTTCTTTGAGTAGTTAACGATATCCTCATTTGTTATTCTAAAATAAACCTATGTATTAATAATGTCATGCGATAATCTTAGTCGTGGATTGGATTCCTTTTGAGTAAAAAACAGTTTCTAACGGATGACCTACTGTTCACAGTTTGGTCCCACAAAGATGTTTGGAAAGTCCTCAATTATGTTTTAATTTACACAACAAATAAAATCGTGAAACTTGTATTCACATTGACCCTACCGATTCATCAACAATCAGTCGTTTACCAGGTTTTCTGTTTGTACGACAAAGTGGAGTCACCGAATATTTACCACTTTGTTTTAACTTATTTATGCGTTTAGATAGCCGATTGTTCTCACTAGGTCCCTGTCTGTAGATGTCTGGACTTTAAGACAATTAAAACGTACGACTTCATCAAGTCCAATAAGTAAATACAAATGAACATTACTTAGTTGTTTACTGAAGTATCAAGTGAAGTTAAATCTATCTATTCATGTTCCTGAATATCATACCTTTATAGTCATGATATGGTTTCAGTATCAGATCGGCCTATACCATATCCAGAATCGATTATGACAATGATAGTGGTCTTAATGAATTAAGTATTTCAACCGAAAGTAATCACAGGATTCTTGTGAAAAAGATAATAATAATACAAAAAAACAACTGTGACATCTCATGATATAAAATAGGATATCACTGAATGATATTTTGTTGGTATGCATGCAGACAACCTTCAAGTTTTTCGAGTTTTACCAGTGGAAATACAGTAATATTCAGAAGCAGTGTTCGATGACTAGATGATGAACAATGCACATTTATTCCTCCTTAATCTGTAACCGTATTGAAGGAGCAGTCGTACCCATATAAGAAACTCCAAAGTGTTCCTCACATTCTTATTTGCACGGACTGTTAAAATAATAATATCCCTTAGAGATGGTGGAGAAAGTTTGTAGATTAGGTGAATGATTGTGGTGTTTTGTTCTTTGAGCTTGATGTTTTGGTTGTGGAGCTTTCGTTGTTCTGAGCAACATCATCAGCACAAATTTCAGGTAGAAGGTTGTGCTAATGATGTTGTTTAAAACAAGAATGAAAACTTCACAACCAAAACGTCCGGCTCAGAGAACGAAACTCCACCACAATAATGTCCCTTATAACTTAAAACAAAACATTATTGTCTTTTCTATCCAATAGTTGGCTAGTGTCACTCAAACAACTTAGAACCTCAGTATGGATCACGAAGTGGATGTATAATTGTCTGTCAGAAAACAAATATATTCATACCCAAGAACTCTGGGATAATTGGTTTTAAAATTCAATGTTTCATATTTCATTAGAAAAATACATCTTCTTAATATCCATTGTATTTCTACCTTTAATCTATTTAATATATTTTTAATATTTGTCTTTGATGAAACGCTCGGACATCCACTTGTTTTGTAATTAATTAAATGTCCTTTCGCTTTACATTTAACTAAAGTCAGGAAAGCTGATTCATTAGGCTTGTCATGAATTTTGAGTAATTGTAATTTTATTTTGTTTTTAGTTTGCTGAAAATGTCAGAGAACTTGAAACTGACCCGCAACCACCAATAATTGCACATTTTCACGAGTGGCTCACAAGCATTGGTTTAGTATTTTCGCGTACACGTCACCTTCCTGTCGCTACTATATTCACTACACATGCAACACTTTTGGGTCGTTACTTGTGTGCGTCCTCAGTTGATTTATATAACCATCTTTCGGACTTCGATCTAGATAAGGTTTGTTATTGCTTTTTGCTCATGTTTCATTTTCATGTTCATATTCATCAATAAAGCTTAAAGGATAATATCGTACCATTTCATAATTCCCTGTTGTTTCTTTTGTCTTTAAGAGAATTCATTTAAAACGCCTGGAAAAGTTAATCAACCTAATATTTCGATTTTTAATTGTCAATTTGTTCTTGCACATGAGGATCTGGCAGTTGTTTTATATGTATTTTAAAACTGAAGGCAAGGAAGGTAAAGGGTAATGATATCATTTTTTTGAGATGCGGAACTATTGTCCCAGTATAATTACTAATACTACGGTGACATTAAGCACATATTTTCATGATTTTTACGGTAAGCTGTTTAACACACCTATTGTATTCGTTAAACAGCCTACCTTGAATTTTTATCCCATTCTCCAATCACCTCATTCAAACATCAGAAATACCAGACAAGTACCTCGCACTATCCTGTATTCAGATTTTAAGTGTCATGATTATGTATGTAAAATACAAGACCATGAGATTCCATAAATAGTAAACCTCAATATGTATTCATATCATAAAACCGACCAGCAGGTTTGTGATCCATTTCCTGCAGTATATGAATGGCATAAGATATTACTATTGTAACTAGCATCTTGCAATTAGTACATCTAAAAATCTTATAGACCAAATTATTTAATGCATTCACATTAAAAGTATATACTGGGTTTCCAGTGGATGTCTTCCCAGGTTATACATCACCGTCTTAATGCATACTAAGAGCCGTCACAAAAAACATATTTACAAATAAACCCAAAATAATTCGGTCGTAATTTTAAAAGTACCATATTCGTTCACTTTTAAACAATGGACCATTAGTAGATCCACTAGTTTGACGACAGAGTTAGTTTGGATTAATCCATGAGTGATATTGGTTGATTGTTTTTTCTTTATGTTGTCTGAAAGATTTCTTCCCACAAAATAGTGTGATTCGAATGGAATTTCGTTCAAAACGCATATTACGTGATATTCACTAATTACCTTAAAACCCATTCAGCACGGTGTATGCAGTCACTTGCCAGTTAATGGCTGGTTATATCATGTTCGGTCTTCTACTGTTTGTAAAATCATTGGATAAACCAGGTATTGAATAGTTTCTCAAAAATGAAATGGTTAAGTCATTTACTGTATTCTAAAGCGTTGTACGTGGCGAAGAGCTTTCTCAACTAAGAAAAGTGAATTAGCGTGGTGCATAACTTGTTCCATGGTACCTTTCGAGTTTGAACACCCAGTTGCAGGTTGCCAAACTCACTCCGTTTTAGCGTGAGAATCTAAGACGTATACCTCGACAAATACAACAGGAAACTAATAACATAAACGCACAGTTGGTCACTTGATTGCAGTGACTCATTTTGAATTATGTTGCGAAAATCAACATCGTAGAGTTTGGTCATCAAGGTTGTGTTTTTACTGATTATTGATTACAGTAATGCAACATTCGGGATCATTCCGCTTGATTTGGAGAAATGTATTTATATTCAATATATCACATGTTTCTTACAAAAACCTGGTTTAGATTTTTCACCATAATTTGTATTTCTTAAAATTAAAGTCTATTACAAACTAGCCTTGTAGGGAGGAAAACTAACCTAGTGTATTATGTAAAGGTAGTATGAAACTAAGAATAAAATAAGAAATCACTCAAGTGATCATGCAGCTGCTGGAACCATAAAATCATCCTACATTTTAGTGGTTGAACCAACAAATTATTACTTAGTAGAAGCTGAAAAACTGAGAATCATGATCACTGACTACAGTACTTGTGAAGATAAATGAGCATACATACTGTAAGAAAGATCACTTAATTTTACAAGTTGATAACTGAAATTTATACATATAAGTTCTAACAACGATGTAAAGTTTTATAAATAGCCACGAAAATGATCTATCTTCCAGTTTTAAAAGTTGAGTCTGGTTATTATTACTTTGGAAGTGTACCTAAGTAACTTCAATATTAAATATCTTGATCGACCATAAGAATTTTGTAGTTATTAGTTATGCTTAGCCAAGTGGAACCTTTTTACTAAGATAATCAGGCATGCAGATCTACTATCAAACTCGAAAACAAAGAAAAGTTTAGGAACTTTATCAAGTTATCGTTTAACAGACAAAGTAAATTTAAAAATTATGTGATATTGCTTCATTTTTCTTAAATATGGCCGATACTTTGTTATACTTCAGCACTAACTCCATGTCGAAACAGTGCATGTTACACTGATGGTGTGTTTATGAGATATGAAAAATAGATATAATTGAGTATCAGGGTCTAATAAATAAATTATTTATGTGATTATTTATTGTCTAGATCTTTTTGATAGTGTTCTTGATCAGACAATTCAAATCTACTTTAAAATTTTTGACCAACTTTCCCAAGTTCCTTCAAGGCCAAGCTATCCATAAAACGCCAATAAAATCAGTATAAATCGGATAGACGAACATAAACAATCCTGTACACATGTTTATCGATCCAAGTTGCCACACTTTGCATCTATATGTCTAGATGTGATTTGCTAGTGAAAAAAACAAAGAATTAAATTAGTGGATAATTTCAGTGGAAAAAATAGAGAATTAACGAATAAAATCAAGAATCAAAACGTATCTATAGTAATACAATATTCATAATTTAAAGGAAAGTAAAAAGATTAGAACATCTGCACTCCGACTAATTTTGAGCCACATCTATTGAGTGCATCATGAACACATCCTTTGTGAACTCAGATTAATAGCCAACAGCTCCATAAAGTTAAATGTACACTGAGTATTTCAGAAATTCTGTTCCATGCAAACTAATAATGCTAAGCAGATTAGGCAATTGTTAAAATGTGTTATAATGGTTATAAACTTTCCAGCAGCAGTTTAAGGCGAAAATGTTTTACTCAGTGGTCATATCATACTCAAGCTATGTGTTAAGGATGTCTATGTTCGAAATATTTTTAATCTACCTGTATTCTCTATTGTCAAAGGCCAGATTTCAGTTTTTTAAGCAGATATAGAATGGAATATTGCTCGATGAACTTCTGTTTGGACAACCAAACCGTCGTAAACTTTGGTGTGACGACTAATATTGCCTCAAACAGCTTCCAGTAATACAGTGTAGTTCTTCAGCGTAAATTTTAGTGACAGACATCCGTGTATCATTTTTTGAATATACTGATGGAACCGTATAATTGAATATTGAGTATAGTTTTTATTCACTGTCACACTTCCCAGTAGCGTATGTAAAGGAAATCAACAATCATAAATAACGACACAAACGAAATATACGGAACAAAAAAATAAGATATGATTTCTAATAGAATATCACAAGTTTAAAAAATAAAAGTTCATGTAAACCATTCACAATTGGTTATTTTCATTCTTACAGGAAGCTGGTGATCGAAATATATACCATCGCTATTGTCTTGAACGTGCAGCTGTTCATTGTGCACATGTTTTTACAACTGTGAGTAAAATTACTGGCTTGGAAAGTAAATTTCTTTTACGAAGAGAACCGGACATCATCACTCCGAATGGTCTCAATGTTATTAAGTTTGCCGCGCTTCACGAATTTCAAAATCGTCATGCTTTGGCTAAAGAAAAACTAAACCAATTTATTCAAGGACACTTTTATGGGTCAGTTAACAATACTTCATGACTGATAAATAAGCTTTGTTAATTTTTCCAGATTTCTTACTAAATCATAGTTTTTCTTTTCCAGACATTATGATTTCGATTTGGACAAAACATTGTATTTTTTCATTGCTGGACGATATGAATTTCAGAACAAAGGGGCCGATATATTTATCGAGGCATTGGCTCGTCTTAATCATCATTTAAAAGTATGCTAGTACTGTTAATATCAAGTTGTTTATTCATACACTTTATTCACACTAGTTTTTATTTTAACTCTATTTTTATTTCATTTCTTAATTTATTTCACTTAGTTGCATTAATAATAATTTCAAACGATTAATAATTTTGTAACCTACAGTTTAATGAACGTTTCTAACCACTGGATAATGTGGAGTATAAATTCATTTTAAAATAATTTTAAGTACGTGTATAGTTGTAAACATGGCCGTGACCGTTAATAAACTCACTGAACAATGATATTTTACTAGTTATCTACCTCAAAAAATAAATAAGAATATTTATCATTGTAAATGCTTTGGTGATAGTATGCTCTTGACTAAAAAAATATTATGCAATAGGCTTATTTGTTTTAGAAAAAGATTTAAGAATTGCAATTCACCTTGAAAAGTTTACAGTAATTTTCTCGTAGATTCACAACCGAGATCTAAATAACTTTTAGATCTATTAGAGAATGATCTTTTTCTCGAATTGCATAGCTGTGAACAGATAGAATTAGTTAAACTACGATCACCAATGTATATTGTCATACACTTTATTACGTTTTCTGTTTGTCTCCAGCCACATCTTTTATTTATTCAGCAAAAAGAAGTAGTGGTATTATTCTTACCCATGATGTTCTTACTTAATTAGTTTCTTTTTTACAAAATTTATCTAACTGCCCAGATTTTCATGCAAAACAAATATCGCGGCAGTCCAGTGGGCACAGTTGTTAGTCATAGGACAACGTAAGACCTGGTACGAAGGTGCATCGATCCAAGAAACCTCATTTGTACAACCAGAGTAGAAATTAACCAGATCAGAAGAGAATGTGGAGTGCAATAAGAGTCAAAGCATAAGTAAAATTGTCATCATGGGGTTGCAAAGATTGTTAAGTTTCATCGAAACCATGGATCTATCAGTGTTAGACCACCATGAAAAATCTGGAAGCACTGGACTGTTGTTTTGTCTCAGTATGTGACTCATCAGCTGTGCGCGATTACGACTTCCACACACGGAAATCGAACGCAGGACCTTCGGTCTCGCGTGAACACCTAACCTCTAGACCACCAAGCCAGCATCTAGTAGTCTTAATATCTAGCTTTTATCAATTCAGGATATTATGCAACACTATCCATTGTCCTCGGTGAGTAACTGCCTCAAACTAGACACGGTTAAAGTCCACTGGCAATGGCTTCTCTCTAGAAATCCGAGAATTCCTTGACAAAACTAGTCATTAGTGAGCACATGATAATTCTCCTTATAGGGTTGTGCAGATTGTTTCTGATGGTGGTCTTACATTGATCGATCCATAATTTCAATGAACATAAGTAAAAGTTTTCAAAACAAACAAATAAAATCATAGCAGTATGAAGAGAAAAACAAAGGGATTCAAATAATATGTTCAAAGAAGATGTATATAGACGAAAGGATGTTTGAGCGCCTAAGTACTATCATGATCGATTTGCCACGTGTCTAGGTAATTAATAAGTTGATTTTTAAGATTGTCTGAAAGCTATCCACTCAGGAATAACAGGTCAAATTAATTTTCTCTTGGTTAATATGAAGCATTAGGACCCTACTCCTCGCAACACTATAGTGGCAAGACTATATTTTGCAGAAATAAAGGCTATACTGTAAAAATTAGTGATATCGTGAGGACATTTAGTTAGGAATACTTGGGACAGGTACAACACAGGACATCTAAGCTGTATTAATTGTGAGGAAGCAAAGGTAAATCCACTATTTGACGTTCATTACTTATCACAATTTCACTGAAAGTATATTTTCTCTTTATATATAGTGATCATTATACAGATCTGTCTTCTTCATCTTACAATCAATTTTCCTCAAACATGCGTGCTTATATTTGTAAACTGAAAGTGTGCTTCTGTAATTCAGGTTTATCTTTGTTTCCGACTCACAAGTTTTAAGTTTCAGGTTTCTTTTAGTCAGTCATTTAGATAGTCATTTCTGCTATTCAGTTCCAAACTGTTCATAGTAATACGATTAATGCATAAAGTATGTAGTAAATTATTTTTGGAACATTTTAGGCAAAAACGTGCGGATATACATTAAGAACAGATACAAATTCAAAGTTGACATTTGTTTGCACAACTTAACGACACCTGCACTATCACATGATTACTTAAAACTTAAGATTTTTCACAAGGTTTAATTTGTTCTAAACAACTGATTACATTCATATAATATTACTGTAGAAGATTCAAAAGATTCCATATAACGTTACATTTTTGTTTTGAAAATGTAATTCTTATAAATGCTTTATAGTTGAACACCATACTCTAAGTTCTCTTAAATTCTTTCACTTTTGTTTCAGCAAGCACAAACTGATGTCACTGTCGTAGCCTTCCTCATTTTTCCAGCTCATACGAATAGTTTTAATGTGGATTCATTTCGTGCACAAGCTATTGTAAAACAACTGCGTGAAACAGTGAATTCGATCCAATGTGAAATGGGACATAGGTTATTTGAAGTGTGTCTTCGAGGACGTATCCCACAAGGATCTGATCTACTCACTCAGGTATGGTTATTAATGTTCCTGTGATTTTTTAGTATAAATTTTGTTTGACAGTCATTTATTCTGTCGACTTGTCTAATCACTTCACATTTTGTTTTTTTAGGGTGATATATTTCGTCTTAAACGTTGTATATATGCGACACAACGAAATAATTTGCCCCCTATTTGTACACATAATGTTGTTCAAGATAATATCGACCTAGTTCTGTGTAACTTACGTCGGTGTCAGTTATTTAATGACCGTCATGATCGTGTCAAGGTAAACTATTTGTTATTGTTTATATATCCTTCAACTCTATATTTTAAGTGATAGTGAATGCCAGTCAACTGAAAACTATCTTGATGTACTTTCTAAATAGTAGAATGTTTTCATGTTCAACCACGCTTAGTAAAATACCCACAGTTCTTGCCAATTTGGCTACAATGGTTAGATTTTTTGAAAGATCATGGATACATTCATGTGTATTTGGTAACAAATTAGGAACACTGAAACCCATTAATTGCGTATAAAGGAAACTACACAGAAACGAATCATCCACTCACTAACCACAATAAACTTCCCTTTCTTCATACTGTAGGACTATTTAGGTTTTTTTTCACTATTACGTCCAGTTAGTACATTTTTGTTTTATTTAAAATACGGAAAAACATTGTCACTTGGCTCGTTAATCTTTAAGATGCCACAAAATATCAAGCTATTTCCCCCATTCTAACTGTGAATGAACAGTAAGAAACCAGTCTTAGACAATTACCATTCATAAAATACATACTACTCTCAGATATACGATAAGTAATTAAGTGAAGTTTTGATATTGTCTGTTTGGTAGTTATTGTGAATCGTCAGTACTACTCACCTAATATATACATTTTTCTATATTCTGTATACTGTTTTGAGATGGTATTGTAAACATTCCAAAAATATAAGTTTTTTTTTACAATTTTCGGCAGTTAATGTTTTCATTCAATATGATAAGGCTTTTATTTTTAAGATGCTGATAACTTTATTATACGAGCTGTCATATGAAGAAGTAATCACTGTTTACGAAACTGAAACTATCAACTTGACAAAACGACCATTTCCATTCAGTAACGATGATATTATTCTGTTCTTCTTTGATAAAAGAAAACACATGAAAGTATGAAATAACAGTTAACAGACTCTGAAGTTACATAACATAGGTAATTAGTATGACTTGGTATTCGTAAATTATCTAAACATCCAGGAATTCGGCTGTGCGTCAGTATTTTTGTCTGTTTGAAAATCAGATATGATCATATACTTAGTTCTAAATTCGATTCACTATATATATAAGTTTAAATTGTGTTTTGTTTTGCCAACTGATAGGTTATTTTTCATCCTGAATTCCTAAGTTCTACCAATCCATTATTACCGATGGATTATGAAGAATTTGTGCGAGGCTGTCATTTAGGTGTGTTTCCATCGTATTATGAACCGTGGGGCTATACACCAGGTAAGATGTGTTTGTTTAGCTATCTGAAATCTGTATTTCACCATCAAGATTTAGTTGAACAGTCAATTGGTTTTTTGCGATTCTTTCCTATAATTTGTTTTTTCTGGTTTTTAATGTCATTGAAACCCATTAATTACTTATTAATCGTTTCTTCATTGGTACGTGTCTGCCAGTTTATTAACAAAATACATATGGAAACAAATGTTATCAGTGTTAAACATTTTCATATGGAGAAGTGTAACATATAATTTCTTCGATACACAAGTTACAACTTGTTGATGTCTTGAATTCATTGAATCGACTTGAGTGCAACCAAAAGTTATTCTTTTTTATCGGTTTTTAAATGTTCTCTTTGATGGATAAATTAAAATTCGTTCCATTACACAAACTAGGGACTACATCGACTCAGCAGCTAAGTTGATAAAGCGAGAACATTCGAACTGAACAGTACTAGGTTGAAGTCTCAGAATAAATGTGCTTCTTGTATTCCATCGCTAGCTATCATCTAACTCAAACAATTATGTTAGCATAATAAACAATAGACCAGTCGATTATAATGTGTTTAACGACTTGTGGTGATGAAACTCTAATTATTGTGATATTTAAAAATGTGATTTTGTGCATTTTTGTGTAGCAATTATTCATTATTTTTGTGTATGGCTTTTATTTTACTTCATTTAAGCTGAATGCACCGTAATGGGTATTCCATCAGTAACGACAAATCTTTCCGGATTTGGCTGCTTCATAGAAGAGCACGTAGAGGATCCCAAATCTTATGGGATATATATTGTTGATCGTCGTTTTCAAGGCTGTGAAGACAGTGTTCAACAATTAACCAAGGTATTTTTTGTGATCAAGACTGTCAAGATGGAATTCACATACACTTGTCGTTGATTTTGTTCCACACTTTCATGACTCCTTTTTGAACTTAATTTTGCAACCGCAAATTACATCCATCCTTCAGTAGTAGTATACTTGTTATCAAATTTGACACAGGAATAAGTAGAAATCAATGCTAGATATTTATGTATCTCATAGGTGACAGGTTAGTGGTTGAATATTATGTATGGTCAGTTTCTGTTGATATATCAAGGTTAAGCCAACGACATTCATTGAAGATCAAGTCTGAAAATAGTGATATTTAAAGAGAAAAACTTTCATGGATGTCCATAGTTGTTCAGTTCTTGCTAGTTTTCACTAGTTGCTTAACCAAAATCAATTCATGATGTAAAACCTCACATTCAACAATTTCCATAGCACTAATAATTTTCAAGGTTATTTGAACTCATCTTACTTCGAGAAAAAAGTATTCAAGTCAGATATTTACTGTTTCATGATATTTTTTTAATTATTTAGTTTGCTTAACTCCATTCCATCACATATTTAAGATTAAACTGTTGTAATCATATCGTATTTTCTTCAGCTATAATTAGTGGTTCGTGTGATATTTCTTATTAGCAAGCATATATACTATTGCTTCAATTGAAGATCGATAGCTTAGTAGTTAAAGGGCTTGACCATCGACCATCAAGTGGGAGGACTTATTTATTTTTCAGTACACGAATATAAACATGTAAAATGTAGTTTTTTTTTTGTCAAAATCTCTTTTTCCTTTTTGTATTCTGTTCCTAATTTTTCTCTAGTATTTGGTTGAATTTTGTCAATATTCACGGCGTCAACGGATTGTTTTACGAAATCGTACTGAGCGATTGAGTGAACTGTTAGATTGGAAAAATCTTTCCTGTGTAAGTATTCTGGTTCTTCATTGTTGTATTTAAGTCAAGGATAGTTACAATGACAAACATCACTTACTATTTTAAAGCACTTATTTATCGTAATATGATTAGTGTGGATTGTTTTAATTCTCAATGCTTGAGCCGATTTGGTAATTTGGTTGATAAAGTAGTTAACCTTCATATAATATAATGACTAGACCGGTCTTTTATGCATACTAAACCATAGAGGCGGCCAAACCAAAACATGGCAGAAATCCATGAAGTCACTGGCAAGTGGACTGAGTCATGTTGGCAGATGTAGGCTAACTGGTTGGGGTCCGCGAGATGAAAGTCACTGGTGGTTTGAGACCTTGAACGATGTGGCTCAAAATCGTGTGCAGTGGCGCAGGTGCATCCACTCTTTGTGTTCTCTCTAATTCTAACCTTCTGAATTCCTCATGATCTCCATCTTTCTTCTTCTAAATTTATCTCACTGAATTATACCTCTCGAATCATATATTCGCTCCCTAATCTTCTCCATTACTGCTAATACTCTACTATCGCTATCACTCTTGGATTTAAACTGACATTTGCGTCTCTGTGCTGATGTGTTATGGCAACCTGAACTGATGTACTTACGTACGAAGTTCTGCGTTGTATCTGTCTGTCTCTGTCTGCATGCTAAACCATTGCTCATCAAAATATGCTACACTTATATCGGTTTAGTTTAGGGGTTAGGGACGATATTTCTATAATTATGTACAGAGCTTTGAATCAATCTAATTGTATAAACGAGGAATATAGTATTTGACTAACTAAAACTCTTTAATACTCATATTTTAATCTCAACAATCATCTAGTTCAAAAGAAGTATAGTCAATCTTTCGATTGATCTAAAATTAATTTAACTAAGGAAACTTAGTGCGTGATTGAAGAAGAAATAAAAACGTTTTACCGTTTTACTCAAGCTGTTGAATCATATTTATAATTGAATTATTTACTTAAAACACTAATCTATAATAAAATGGAATAATGTTCTTGGCGTTAATCAAAAAGTTATCAACAATAATCAAAAATTTTAACTATCAAATATCTTGATCTGTTACTCTAATTAAGTTAGTGTATAATTTCGGAAAATCTAAATTGTTTTTGTATCATGAATTATCTATAAAAAGCATTCAAATATTTTTTTTTATCATAGAGTTGTGGAGATTGTTGTATTTCATTGAAGGTTGCGCAATACCTTAGGTTGATTAGAGTTAGACATTAACACCGGCCCAATGGTCTATAGGTTACGCGTCTGCGCGCGAGACTAAATGTTCTATGTTCGATCGCCGCAAGTAGGAGTCGTGGATGCGCACCGCTGATAAGCCCCATACTCGGACGAAATAGCCGTCCAGTGCTTCCAGATTTCTAATGATGGTGTAACATCATTAGTCGACTCATGATTCCAATCGAATTCAAATATTCGATAGAAAAATGACCAAACAACTTCTAAAAATGATCAGATGAATATGCATATGAATAATACAATAGTTAGTTATTGTAATAATTGCTAAAATGTTAGAAAGTAAACAATAGACTATGGAAGATAGAATAGGAAAGTTAAGACAATGGTACAGTTAGAAATTGTTTTTATGCACAAACATTAAGCTTCAACAGATGAATAGCTACAGATTTCGCTATCTAGATGTTTTTTAATTGAATAAATGACCTTAAGGCAGAATTCTAGTGAAGTAATATGGTCAGAATTAACTAGATATTCCAGGATTAAACTTTTGTAGTCCTTTTAGATACTCACACAGGTTAGCGTTTATAGATGTGCTTCGAAAACGTTTATTCACTTCATATTAACATTGTGAATTCATAGATGCATATTGATTTGACTCTAAGTGATGTGAAATTATCCCGCGTAACTGAATGGAGATAAAAAAATTCTTTTTATTGAGCTTTATATTCATTCATGCTTTGGGATTAAAAATTAATGATTGAAAATCTGCAGTAAAAATTAGATTCACGAATTTTTAAAATGATATAATTCTTTGGATATTTCGTTTTATCAAAAATTATTTGTTCGTGTAAAATGGCAACTAAGTAATCCGATCAACTTCATTCCATTTCAAATGGGATTGTGTAATTAGTTAACCGATTCTAGATGCTACGTAATACTTTTCTTATCATCTTTGAATGCAACACAATTAATCATATATGGTGGTAGGGTTAGACATAGTGTATCGTTTTTTATCTATAAAATCGTAAAATGTGAATAGAATCTACATTTCTATCATGAATACTGTTGGGGATGTTAGATCCCCAGAACTCGCTTGATAAATGCCTTATTTTGGATTTCACGTTTGCGAGCATGGGCTGATCAGTAGTTGATCTTGAGATTTCATTTCCCACCAGGAAAATCCATGGCTGTGATTGGCTGTTGTGTATTTAAGTCTGCTGTTTTCTTGACTGTCCCATGGACGTTTCTATGATGTATAAATAAACGAGATTCGTGTGCTTGATTGTATTGTGCTTGCTGGGTGTTTGTAGAATATACTTTCTACGCTATACCAAGACTTCTGTTTTACAGTTTGGGATTCAAGGTAGCCTACCTGGACTCTGGTAATTGTCTCATTCGCGTTTATCGACTAAGGTGAACTTGTAATAGCTTCAAGCGTACCTAGTGACGAACATAACAAATACTTCTCTTTAGTATAAAGACAAGGATTTCTGCACCTATTTTTTTGTATTAGTTCTTTAATGTGTCAACGTAATGTTGACTTCGTAGACAAAGTCAATTTTATGTTAATCATACTAAATCTATAAAAAAAATATTCTGATCGCTTAAAAATGTCTCCTATAGAATATAGCCATTTATGAAATGTGTCATAATTTATGTGCATTTGCACAATTTATATCATCCTTTTTTTTATCTCTAGTACTATCAACGTGCTAGATTAATGGCTTTGAAGAATTTCTCTCCGGAATTATTCACATCTAACAACAATGATGATACATTGTCTACGCATAGTTTTCATGTTAGTCGACCATATTCAGCACCTGTATCTCCATCATTATCTGGACAGTCAACACCATTGCCAAGTGCTGGTGCAAATAGTTCAACTCGTAGCAGTCCTACATCTCATTTAGATGATGATGAAGTTGATGATAATACAGAACGATTGGAACTGGGTCTTGGTGCATTAGAACTAAGTGATACTGTACCTGCTTAAGATAGAAAAAGTTGCAAACTATTTCATCCGAATTAAAGCATAACTTAGAATGTGCCTAGTTTATTTTCTTCTTTTATTTCTCTTTTTACCATTTGTCATTTATTTCATTCTTTTTTTTCATTTTTATTTAATTTAGTTCTTTCTTTCAATAATGCATATTTTATCAGTCTGAATAATATTAATAATAATAATTTTAGTATTACCATTTATTAATAATGATTATCATCTCCTTATTGATGGTAGCTTACATTGTACTGATTTATTTACAGCTTATCATGAATATCATTTTGATCATTTTACACAGTCATAATACTTGATCTCATTTCATATGTGTCAATAATAATGTCAGACCAAGATTTAGAGAAGAAAAAAAAGTATGAAAGATGAATTTCATTCTTGTCTCTTTTTTTTCCGGTGTTTATTCAATTTTGGATTGGCTAAAAGTGTAGAGTTTGTTATGATTAGTAATTTCAATATTTCAAAGCAATTAATTGTTTCATATGAATTAGTTGTAATCGACTGTAGACTAGTTAGTAAGCATGATTAAATGGGAGATTTTACAGTTACATTAAAAATGGTAGTGATTTCTGAAAAGGAAAATATTTGTAACATTACTTATAATATGAAGAATCAATACGTTGAGAATAGAACTTTTGTCGAATCCTAAGCTGAAGCGTGTGAGATAATGAAAGTGAAACTGGATGATAAAGTTGAAATACGGGTACCAATTATTTTACTTTGTATGTAAAGTCCATGTCGGAATCGCTCGATAGTATTGTGTTATATCAAATGTGGAAAATGTTATGCTCATCAATTGATATGCTTGAAACTATTACTGGTTCACCTTAGTCGGTAAACGAGAGTGAAGGCAGATGATCCAGTGACACGATAGGCTACTCTAATCTCAGCGTCACAAGACCCCATTAAGTAGAGGAAGAGGTCTTGACAAGACGTAGAAAGTGTATTCTACAAGCACACAGAAAATATAAGGTTGATAAGCACGTAAATCGAGTTTATTTATACACGATAGAATCATCTTTGGGAGAGCGAGGAAAACAGCGTACTGCAATAATGCATCAACCAATGACAGTCAAGGGTTTTCCGGGTGGGAAATTTGATCTTAAAGTCAACTATCAGCCCATGCGCTAAAGCATAAAATCCAAAATAGGAACCTTCATCAAGTGAGTTCTGGCGATCTAACGTCGTCAACAGAAAACTTGACGTTTCCTGTTTATTTCGTCGCTTATTATTCTTATCTAACGAATTGAATAAAAACCTTGATTTTTCATTAATAAATATTTTTTATCTCATATATTATCGATTGCTTGAACAAAGGATCCCACTAGTGCTATCGTTTTATCACCTTTAATATCTAGGATTTCAGCTTAAACTTTTATATTTTAATGAAGAAACACGGGTTTATTGAAGATGTAGGATTCATATTACACATCAAGTAGTAGTATAGTAGTTTAAATTTAACCCACTAAGTCACAGCTGCGATCAACGCTCCGCCTACTTCGGTTCGGAATTCCGATCTGTATCATCAGCCTTCATACGAAATACAGGCCGAAGCTGAATACATGAAGTTTATCATAGAATACTCTTTTCAACAAATAATTTCGGTTGTATCCTAGCAAGTGGCTAGGATTATCTTGATGTAAATCTGATTCAGTTCTGCATTTCTCAATACATTCGGCTTCTAAATAGGAACGAGGTAAAACTATCAAGTTGTGACTACAGTGAATGTTTTCTTTGTATTTTATCTTGCTCACTAGTACATAACACGGCAGCTTATATGCTGACAGTCCTTGCGCTATCAACTTAATCATGTACACCACAATAAAAATTGTAGCAGGATTGACTAAGATTTTATTATTTTTGCTTAATTACTAATTAAACTCATCGTTTTGTATTTGGCAAATGTCGTAGTTTGGAAAATAATTAATTCTTTACATTATAGTCTAAAATGATTGGTTTTTCTCTTTAGTTATTGACTAACTTCATTAGTTTGACATTTGATTTTTGTGCATTATTATGAATAAAAAAGATTATTAGTTTGATTAGTTTTAATCTGGTAAACTTTATATGACACCATAGGCTCAATAGTCGTTTAAATTGTAAAGGTTTAGGAAGTTAGCATTTTAATAATATCCAATAAGTCATCAGAGCATGTGTTAAACTAACAAATTAATGATTTGTGTATGATCGCTTATCTAAGTAAGGGTCATGTATTAAATAATTTATTGATTAAAAACAAATCCGATGGGGTTGTTCATCAATAATATATGTTACAAACTCTAAAGAATAATAGTTTTGTTACGAGAGGAAGAGAATGGAGTACTGAAAGTCACAATAATTGTTGTTTCCACAAAAATATTTTATAGAAGACTAATAGGATCCTCACATATATCAATCCTGAATCTATTTAATAATGTTTCAAGTCAGCATCTTGGCTATTTCCTTATTATTTACAGATCATTAAAGTCTCAAAGGAAAGAATAGGCCATCGTAAGATTGATCCTAGTATTGCCTGGGCTACTGAAACCAATGTTAATTGATATCTTGTAAGATTTCTTTTCCACTTATTCACTCGACTATTTTAGTCATAGACCATATTTATTATGCCGTTCCAGTTTTGTAAAGTACTTTTTTGAAATTATCTATTCATAAGAGTAAGTACAATCAGAAAGTATCATTGGAAAGATAAAATGTTGATGTATATACCCACGTTATATATATATATATATATATATATATATATATATATATATATATATATATATATATATATATATATATACGTTTAAATCTCTGTTACAAGATAGTTCTAACGTATGTTTCACCTAGAGCTAAATGTAATATTCTTACAGTTTTGTATTCAACAGATTTATCCTCTAGTTTTTGGAAGGATAATGAATTCGTTGCATGGTGATCTGGCGGTTTTGTCCTTTCTGAACCAGACTGTTTCATTGTTATTCACTGAATAATCTTGTTATATTACTATTGCATATTGAGGCAGAATTTCAACGAGAGTAACTTTATTATACATTTGAAATAATCAATCAATCATTGTTAGACCACCATTAGAAACCTGGAGGCTCTGGACGGCCGTTACGTCCTGGTATGAGACTCACCAGCAGTGTGCATCCACGAATCCTGCATCCCGGAGGATCCGAACCCGGGACCTTCGGTATTGAGCGACCACTGGACCATCGGACCACTGGGTCGGCATCTAACGGTGTTAATGTCTAACTCTGATTAATCTAGGGATTTTGCGCGACCTCACCCTTTTGTCTTCGGTAGTTACTGCCTACACCGGACAGGGTTGAACTCCATTGGTCACGTCTTCTCACTAGATCTCCGAGAATTTCCTAACGAAGCTGGTCACTAGTGAGCACATTTTACGATATTTTCAATTCCAGTTATGGTGATTTGTGTTTTTGCACATTTGAAATCAGTCAATCATTGTGGATGCCCACTGCTGATGAGTCCCATACCAGGACGAAACGGCCGTCCAGTGCTTCCAGGTTTCTAATGGTGGTCTAACAATGATTGATTGATGGTTTCAAATGTGTAAAAACACTCATCTCCATAACTCCAACTGAAAATAACTTTATTGTGTAAAATCATAGTCAGTAGCAATACATACAGATGGATAGTCAAAAAAATTTCAAAAGTTTGGTCATAAAATCAAAAGGAAGATCTTAAAGAAAAAAAAACGGGAGGCATAACTCATTTTCAGTTCCATCTGTTTACGTAAGTTAGGTTTATTTTATACGAATGGAATAATAAATGTATTTATTAATTTTATGTATTGCACTGTTTAATATCAAACTGTAGTTTCTTTTAGAAAAATCCAGGTTTTCTAAATTTACATCATCTATCTAATTTACAGATAAGTGACATTAAACAAACGTTGTTAATGAACGATAAGTAATGAAATTTTAATATAATCTATCAACGTACTAAGCTCTCTATTGAACATAAAAAATTGTTGGTTGCATATTGATGATTGACTATAAACTGGTGATCGTTTACTACAATTTACTTAAATGACAAATTTAACTCCACAGAATTTTGACAAGTTAAAACAACTCTTACGAATGGGATAATTTAATTATAGGTAAAAAGTATACACTTGAATATGACTAGACTATATATGGCTTGTGTATATAATTTAACTGCCCTTAATTTTTTTAATAAGCTCTAAAATTGTATGGAACAACTAACTACTATTCAATGTTCTTCAAATGATTAGTTGTTGCTTTTTGGCTAATTTTTTGTCCTAAAAAGTCAACTGTACGTAGAATGTGAATAAGCTACATGAAAAAACAGTTAATAGTTTTATGTCAATACTTGTTCATCGTACAGATTCGATTAAAATGATTATCTCATTGATGGTGTGTTAATGACATTGGTTGTTTCACTGGATTAATATTATTTTTTTTTGTCAGTCTATAACAACAACTTTTAGATCGTATAGAATTGAATAATAAAAATACTCAAACACTAACTGATAGGCGACCAGATTTTATTAATACACATAAATCAAATTTAATGGATAATGTCAAATTTTCACAGTAATTATCATCAAAACCTATTCGATTATCGTATTTGTTAACTGATGATTGACCTATTTTTGTTATATATATATATATATATATATATATATATATATATATATATATATATATATATGACTGAACATTAGTATTTCAGAACGTAATTTATGCAATAAAAAGTTGTCAGACCATGAAGATTAAAAATGTGTAACTATATTCACAAAGTTATTGAACTGGTCAGTTTGATACAAAATATTAAATGGTTGTATGAGTCATAGTTTTGATTGGCCATGTGAATGACAGTTATACCATTGAAATGACAAAAAGGATTCCTGAAAGAATATTGCTGCAATGTAAACAATTTGATCAAGTTAGAAATACTTAGTGGGAAGACGTGACCAGTGAAGTTCAACCTGTTCGAGTGTAGACAGTAACTACCGAAGACCGTGTATGAGGTTGCGCAACTTCGTGAATTGATCAAGTTAGACATTAACACCGTTAGATACCGGCTCAGTGGTCTGATGGTTAGGCGTTCGCCTACGATACCGTAGGTCCTGGGTTCGAATCCTGCGAGGCGCAGGAGTCGTGGATGCGCACTGCTGATGAGTCCCATACCAGGACGAAACGTCCATCCAGTGGTTGCAGGTTTCTAATGGTGGTCTAACATCGATCGATTCATGGTTTCAAAAATGTGTATATACTTATGAAACACATTGGTTAATTAATAGTCGCTAACTAAACGATAGTCGGAAAAAACTGACCATCTGACCATATTCGCTAGTGAAATGAAGTAATAATAATAATACTACAGCATTAATGTAAGAAACATGATTAGAAGTTACATAGTATCTGGAAAATTTGTATGAAGTGTTATGTAAAAGTCATCGAACAATCAGTGATTTTATGACTTCCTGAACA